CTGGGCTCAAGCGAGTCTCCTGCCTCCGCCTCCCAAGTAGCTGGGACCACAGGTGCCCGCCACAACGCCTGGCTATTTTCTGGTTGCAGCCATCATTGTTGTTTGGCAGGCCTGGGCTGGATTCGAACCCGCCACGTTAGGTGTATGTGGCTGACGCCTTAGCCACTTCAGCCACAGGCGCTGAGCCCTTGCCTGCCTTGAGATATCTCTCTCTCTCTTCCCTCCATGGGCTCTGGTTCATCATGCACATGCAACAGGTGTGTCTGTCTATATGTCTTTTCTGCTTTTTTCTCTTGGAGTAACAGACTGATGAGGTAAAATCAAGAGGAAAAACTCAGGAATCAAGGGACATAATCTGGGGAGGGTAATCCATTAGAACGGCTTTTCTCTGCTAGGCTTTCACTCCTTCCTCTGCTCTGCCCAGCCTTCCCCTCCCAATCCCTCCTCCAACTGCCCTGCAAGTCAGTCAGTCATCCCATACACTTCCCAACCTCTTTTAGGCCACAGATACATACACGCACATATGCATGCTTATGTGTTTAGAAGTTGTTTATGTTCCCAAATATGACCCTTCCCTTTGAAGCAACTGCATAGGTACATGTAATTCTGGACTAACCTGCACATTCTCACATCCACCTCTAACCATGTAGCACATCACTGACTGGGAAGGTGGGGACCACATAGGCCAGCCCTTAAGGAGACCCTTTTGCCAGGCTTAGGGTGTGGCCAGTCCTGGATTCTACTCAAGTCACAGGTTGTAGCTGGCTCCAGCCCAGAAATGCCCCACAGAAGGAAAGGGCCACCTCTCTGCCTCTCAGTTCTTGTTTTTCTCTTTCCTGGGTGCTCCACACCTCCCCAGGTTATTAAGCCTGGATCTTCCCAGCCAAGCTTGTTTTCTGCTGTGAGGTTTGGGGGTGGGGTTGGGGAGACAGAGAGTGGAGGTCGGTGAAATAAAGTGATGCAATTAGACCTTTCAGGTTTTGCTGTTTCCAGAGCGCCGCCCCTCCCCCACCCCTTGGGCACTGTGTGCCCCTCCCCCACCCTGGCCGGACCAGATGGTCCCCCTGCCCTTTGTCCACCAGGCCAGATGGAAAGGAAGGGAGATTGGATTCCCCTCCCCACCCACACACACCCAGGTGCCAAGAGACTCAGTTGTGGGGGGAGGTGGAGGTCAGTGGGACCAGGCTGAGCCGATTACCAAGGGGGGGGTAATATTCGCTCCCCAGGGGACGGAGCCTGGAGGACTTGGGTACAGCTCAGCTCCTGCCCCCACTCATCCTTTCCCTAGTAAAGAACTCAACGGCGCTGGTCCCTTGCAACCCTAGCCCACAACGGAATTCTGGGGTTAGATTTGGGGGAATCACGAGGTACACCAGGGCCACACGGCTCTCAGGCCCCTCCTCCCGCCGGTCCGATAACCTGTCCTATGCCGATAAGGGCCGGGCAGCACCAAGCTGTGGGCGGTTGTGGGGCGCGGGTCTGGGTGGGCGAAAGCCCGAGTGCAGGATGGCACAGAAGCGAGGAGAGCGGGGAGCTGGGCGGGGCAGAAGGTCGAAACCCAAGCTCTAAGCTCCAAGAGACCCGGGCCCGGAGCGAGGCGAATTCGGCCAGCGCAAGGCCGAGATGGGGGTGCAGGGGGCTCGGCAGGGGCACCGGGCTGGCCGGGCTGGGCCGGAAGTCCTGGCCTGGCGGGAGTGGAGCGGCGCGGGAAAGACCGTGGCTAGGGCCTGCGCGTCAGGCCGGACACCCCTGCCCTCCAATCCCGGGGACCCTGGGAGCTACAGAGGAAGGGTCTCTCGAGCCCTCCCGGAAGCGACCGCTGCTCGGAGCGTACCGCGGCGCGCGGGGCGGGGCGGGCGGCTGCGGCACTGGGGCTGCTGGGGCGGGCCCGGCGCGCTGTAATCGGATCCGGGGAGGGGGCGGGGAGGGGCCGGGCCGGGCGGGCCGGGGGGTAAGGGGGGGCGCGGAGCCGGGCTCCGGGCCGGCCGGGCTCCGCGCCTGTCAAACCCCTCATTGTTCGCAGCTGATGTCACTCGCAGTTGTGAGCGGCCGCCTCTCCCGGGGACAATGTGGGACTGAGCGGCCCAGCCGCTGTGCCGCTGCCGCCGCCGCCGCCGCCGCTGCCGCTGCTGCAGCCGCAGAACAACCCCAGCGAGGTAGGGCGCGGGCCGGGCGGGGCACGGCGGGCCGCGAAGTTTGGGGGTTCTCTCAGGGGTGAAGAGTCTGCGCACGGATCCACGGGCTGGGGTCCCGGGTTTAGGGGACTGGGAGACTGCGAGGAACATGTTCCCTGTCCTGCCGAGGCCTGCACAGGTGGGGGGCGCTGGTCTGCCAGAGGAGCCCCAGCACCAGGGAGGGGCTTTGTGGACCTTAGATCCCAGATTTGAGGCCCCCATCCCGCTCAGTGTTTCTGTCTTTTGGGCCTGCTCTTCTCTTGACCTCCTGCCCTGGGTTCTGGTTCTGTTCCTTCTCTGCGCTCTGTCTGCTATTCTCCTGCAGCTCTTGGCTGGGCACACACCCCTTCCCATTCTCTGCAGTCCTTAGTGGAGCCAGACATAGACCTCCAGGCCATGGAGATGACAGTTGGGGGCTCAGAGTGATCCCTCTTGCTCCTCAGTCTTTCATCTCTGACCTAGCTTCTTGGCAGCAGTCCTGGGGGCTGGGGGGTCGTGGGGTTTGCTACTTACTTCAACCTAGACCTCATGACTGCCTGGCCAGGAGAGGGAGGTGCTGGCCTCCTCACTCCCCTATCCTTGGCCCGCCATCTTGAGACCTGTGGCACCCAGTGCCCCACCCGGCCCCACCATCCAAGAGAGTGGTCTTGAAGGTGATACACCCAGGGCCAGTTGTATTCTCTCCTCCCAGAATGTGGAGCTGTGGATCCCTACCAAGCCCAGGATGATCACTGTCATGCTGGACCAATAGGGCATATGTCCCTAGAGGCCTTCCTTCTCCCACAAAGAAATCTCAGACACCATTGACTCCCTGGGAGCTGAGCTCCAGCCCTCGCTGTTCCCTGAGGTCACCCTTGTTGCTTCAGGGTCAGTACTCAGGACCCTATTCTTTCCTCATCTGAAAATCCCCTAATGCTTCCAAGTTCTAGAACCCCTTCAACCTCTAAGGTGTCCTATCCCAGCCCCCACCCTCTAGCCTTCATCAGCATGCAAGCTCAGGCAGCCCAAACACAAGGGGATTGTTCTCCTTGCATGCTCAGGGTGGGGGGCTGGGAGCAGGCGGCCCACACACCCTGGCAGGCCTAGGCCACGGAGAGGCTGGCTTGCCCCACCCTGTGTCCCTAGACAGGCTCTGTCCACCCTTCCTTCTCCCCATCACTGCTCCCCTTCCAGCCTCTATCACCATTGCCCAGTGGTGCTGACCTCTTGAGGAAACAGATCTGAGTCGCACAGGTAGTGGATTCTTCCAGCTCTGCCACTTGCCTCTCGTGTAGCCTTACAAACAATCCCTTTCCTTTCTGGGCCTCAAGTTTCTCTCTTGATTGGTGAAGCTCTTTCAGTGGTGACAGGCTGAGCCTGACTCAACTCTGTGAAACTGTCCCACCCCCAGCTCTTCTTTTAGTCCCCCTTTGCCATGGGGAGACCCACTTTGGTCTTCCAGAAATTTCAAAGCAGAGCCTAAATCCCCTACCCTAATGACATGTCTGGAGAGTCCCTAGACCTGGAAATGCAGTGGGAGCAGGGGCTGGGGATGCTAAGGAACGAGTAAGGAATCTCGTCCATGTGGCTGGGCCCTTATGCTCTGAGTCTTCTCACCCTACCCTCATTACTCCCTGCATCCAGGGTGTGTGAGCCCTAATTCTTCTCTCTGCACACTGAGCCTGGTCCTGTCTCAATTTTCTATCTATCTGGAGCCCTTGTTTAGTGGAAATACATTCTCAGAAATGCCCAACTGGGACTCCCTTAAGTTATAGTCATATGTCTGGGGGCCACATAGGCCTGAGTGGTTACAGCTGACTTGGAAGGCTGGGGAGGGCTTCACAGAAGAGGTGGCCTTTGAGGAGGATTTCGATAGAGAGTGGGGAAGATGGGCATTTTGGGCAAAGGCTCAGAGGCCTGGAGTCGCCAGGCGTGTCTTGCAGCCTGACGTATGTGGAGGATGGGGTGGAGATGAGACAGGAGAAGTTAGTAGGGGCCAGATCCTGAAGGGCCTGATTGCCTGTCCATGGATATCAGGCATTATTCCTTGGGCCCTGGGGAGCCATGGGCGGTTGCTGAGCAGCAGAGTAAGCATATAGTCTTCAACATGGAGAGTATAAGCTAGGAATCTTTCTTTATTAGGTGAGATGGTGAGGGGAGGCTATGGCCTTTCATCTGGATCCCAGTCTGGGACTGAGTCTGCCTTGATTTCCCTTGGCTATGAAGACTCTTGGAGAACTGCCTATGATGCTGTAAGAAGGCTGTAGCATTTCTGGCATCTGCCAGTTTGTCAGAGCTCCCCCTCCCTGCTTGGTACTTTGTTTATGAAATAGACCTAAATCAAGAAACTGGAGACTAGAGCTTGTAGACCCCAGGATATGCCCCTGGAGCCTTCTTCTTCTCCTCCTCCCCTCAAACTGGGTGTGATTGGCCATCCTGGGAGGCTAGAGGGCTAAGAGGCCAGGTACATGTGTCTGAGGATGCTGTGGCAGTTCTTGGGCAGGCCTGCCTAATCAGGAAGGGTGAGCATCCCCAGAGAATGGGCAGGGAAGTCAGGAGCCCTCAATACTGATCACCCAGGCCTGGTGCCCACCTCCCTGCCACACCCTCCCTTGGTCAATGCTCTGAGCCATTCCTTAGCATCACTGGGTGTGGCTAGCATGGCTGCTGTGGGAGTGGGAATAGGAGAAGGAGGCTGCTAGGTTGGAAGCTGGGGATGTTGGGGGATGTGAGATGCAAAATGAAACTAGAGACTGGACCCCTGCCCCTCCCTAGTCCAGGTGGGTCCACAGGCCCTAGCTGGTCCAGACACTGACCAGAAGAGCCAAGGGAATCCCCCAAGGGGCGGGCCAGTCTACTTGAGTTGCCTGGCCCCAGGAGCCCTCCCCACGCCTGGATTGTTCTTGCTCCAGAACAAAGCCAGGGTGGACACTTGATCCCTGCATGTGGGGGGAGCTGGCTAAGCCCCTGGCCCTTTGATTGGGCAGCTGTCATGGGAGAAAGACAGCTGGGGGGGAGGGGCAGGATGAGGGCAGCCGCCATCGCTTACACAGCTGTCACCCCCCCCCCAACCCTGCCCCCTCCAGCTAGAGTGGCAGAAAGCCAGAGATAGAAGGAGTGGGCACCAAGTCTGGGGAGGGGGCCCAGGGAGCAGGAGGGAATGCCTGAGGTCAGAGGCCTGGTCTGAGCTAGGTATGTTCTATTAGGGAGCCTTGCTGACCAGAGGGGGCTGGGCACTCTCGGAGGTTAGCTGGAGGTCAGTGTGGCATGATGTGTGGCTACCACGTGGGTGGCCTGGCAGAGACCCAGTGCCCACCCGACTGGAGCAACAAATAACTCCCTAGAGCCCCAGTGAGGGCAGGGGGAGACAGTAATGCCTAATGGAGCTACTTATTCTTCAGGCCCTAGGAGAATAATTTGAAGGATGGGGATCAGAACCCTGGTTCTCTTCTAAAGATTGGAAAGACCTTGAGGTTATCTCAGAACAGGAAGGGCACAGAGAGACCAACAACTCTCCCCTGACCCTTAGCCCACAGATATAACATAGGTAGGTAAACCAAAGCCAAGATCCAGGTCAGGTGAGGGCCAAGGTCACCCATTGGATTTTGGGCAGTGGGTCTCTCCTGCAGACCCAGACAACATTTTCATGGCAGAAACTCTAGTTCTGGCCATGTTTCAGCCCTCCTGCCTAATTTTTTTCTGGAGCCGCTAAAGGTGATGTGGAGATGGCGTAGGGGCAATGTCTGGTCTTGCATTGGTTACTACTGCAAAGGGGTCCTTGAGGCCTAGAAAATTTTGGAGTTTAAAATTGAGGCCCTAGGCTCGGCGCCTATAGCTCAACCGGCTAAGGCGCCAGCCACGTACACCTAAGGTGGCGGGTTCGAATCCCCAGCCTGGACCCGCCAAACAACAATGACGGCTACAACCAAAAAACAGCCGGGCGTTGTGGCGGGCGCCTGTGGTCCCAGCTACTTGGGAGGCGGAGGCAGGAGACTCACTTGAGCCCAGGAGTTGGAGGTTGCTGTGAGCTGTAATGCCACGGCACTCTACCCAGGGGGACAGCTTGAGGCTCTGTCTCAAAAAAAAAAAAAAATTGAGGCCCTGGATAGGCTGTTAGTCCTTCACAAATAGGACCCATGTCTACTGACCAGGCAAGGGTCTCAGAGACTACTAAATTCCTGTCTTCTCTACGGAAGAGTCCATCTTCTAGGAAGAGGACTAACAGACTAACAGGAGCAGCCTGAAAGGGAAGGCAGATGAGGCCTAGGACAGCCCTGCACTAGCTGACAGGACCCTGCCAGTCACACCGTGCCCCACCTCTCTGTGACCTTGGGCATGTTATAGACCCTCTTTAGGCATCAGGTTCCTCTTCTGTGCAGTGAGTTCATCTGCTCAGCCAACCACTGTATTCTGACCATCTTCTCTGGCTGGTTCTGGACTGAGCACTGAGGACATAAGGAAAAGGTGGCAGTCTTGGCTCCTGCTCTCAGGGGTTCCTGGGCTTGGCTGTCCAGAGAGACAGAAACCAAGCACGTCATCACAAGTGCTTTGATGGGGGAAGTGCAGGCAGCTGGGGGAATGTCTAGCAAGGGCAGCCAGCATGAGGCTGGCCAGGATGCTCAGAGAGCATAGTTGCCACATCCACTGCTGATCTCCAACCTCTGGAGAGGCTATGGCAGAACTCAAATGGAAGGAGGAACAGGTGCCTGGGGAGGTGCTCAGGGGACCATTGGATAAATGAGGGAATGGAGACCTCATACCATATGGTGGCTTACTTAGGCTTCGAGAAAGAGTCAGATTGGGACCCCCTTCCCACTCCATGTTGAAACCTTGGGTAGCAAGGAGAATTTAGAAGAGAGCATTGGACAGAGCTCCATGGCCTTGACCATTATGTCAGGATGGGGCAGGGACTGAGAAGGAAGGTGTCCAGGGGCATTGCGAATGCTCCAAGCCCAGCACATTCATCCTTTGCCCCAATGCTCTCCTGGGCAAAAGGAATTTGCAGAGTTAGGGGTTGGTCTTGGCTCGCGTTTATCACCAGTTTGTCCTACTCCCTGTGTTCCCCAGGTTCTAGTCCCCCAGCGAGCTCCCCATCAAGGCTGAGCCTTCGCAGGAGACAGCCACTGAAGGAGAGGGATTTCCAAGCAGGATTAAGGTTCAGGATTAAGTCAGGGCATGAAAAGGGGTCGGGTGGGGAGGGCTGGCGGCTGAGCTAATCCCAGCAGCTAATCTTGGGCTCCACCTTCCTTCATCAGTTAATGGCCTTGACATTCCTACAGCCCACCAAATCCCTTTCTTACCCATCACCCAGTTCTAAGAAGGGGTATTCCTTTCATTTTATAAGTGAAGGAATTGAGACTCAGAGTCTAAGTGAGTTGTTTCTGGTACAATAGAAAGTGTTCCAGGCTGGGAATGTGGCCAGTTGGACACTTCTTACCTCCTGTTCCCAGGGACATTCTCAGCATATAGGAGAGACTGAAACCACTGTGCAGACTACTGGTCCCCTGATACTGCATTCCCCCACCTACTCCCAGCCCAGTACTAAATGAATCCTGCCCAGAGCTGTCTGCAGGGATCCTCTGCTCTAGTGACCTCTAGTAGATAGGGCCTGTGGTGGAGAAGCTCTCAATACTCAACATATGTCTGCGCCAGGCTCAGGGAAGGCAAGGAGCAGAGGGCCTGTGGTGGAGAAGCTCTCAATACTCAACACATGTCTGCGCCAGGCTCAGGGAAGGCAAGGAGCAGGAGGTCCCTTCCTTTAAAACCTCACTACTTTTGTGGCCACTCTCCCTTCAAGACCTCCCATGGCTGCTCCAACTTCCTCTCCAGCTGCTTCTCTACTCTGTAGCTAGGGGCAGTCTGGGCCCCTGGATTTGAGTGCCTCTTGTTTGGAGTAATCTTTCAAACGTAACACCTTTAAGGCCCAAACCACAGAGGTCTCTCCTAAGAGGCTAGGGAGGAGGCTTTCCTCTCTGGACTCTCATAGTTCTCTTTGTTAATTTTTTCTTTTAATGTAACATAAGGGAAGGATACTCGTGGGGCCAGTTACCTACCATGTATTGCTTATCTCATTTTAATTCTCATTAACTTTGGGGATAGGGATCTATGTCCCTTTTTAAAGATGAGGAAGCTGAGAGTCAGAGGGTTACATGATCTTTCCAGGTAACACAGCCTAGTAAGACACACACAAGCACATTAGTTGGAGGAACATTTGGAGCTCATGGTCCATGTAAAAGCAGAGGCAGAATGAACTGGGCTTTTCTCTGACCCCTTTTTCACTGTTTCCACCAGAGCTGGTCAGGCCACAGCGTGGACACACTCCCAGGTCACTGTGGCCCCAGCCCCGCCTGACAGAATGAGTGGCTCAGATGCGGGGCTGGAGGAGGAACCAGAGCTCAGCATCACCCTCACACTACGGATGCTGATGCATGGGAAGGTGAGTGGGCAGGGGGCTCTTTCGGGGCTTGGGAGGGGGTGGTAGGCATGGAGGACCGGGCAAGTTAAGTCTGGGCCATTATGAGTGTCACGTCAAGTGTCCTGTCTTCTGCGCAGCCCCTGCCTAGGTTAGGGGACCAGGCCTGGGGCACTGGTACCCATCTGACTACTTTTGCCTTATTTGCAGGAGGTGGGCAGCATAATTGGGAAGGTAGGTGCCAGTTATGCTCTGTATGTTCCCTTCCACTTGAGGTCTTAGCCCAGGTGATGGCTACACAGGTTAAGAGAGATTCTCTGTTTTGTCTTCTACAGAAGGGTGAGACTGTGAAGCGAATCCGGGAACAGGTGAGGATGAAGTGTGGGAGAGGAGCACAGGGTACCTGATGTGGAGGGGAGATCTTTGCCCCTACCTTCTCCATGAACCCCTGCATCTGGGCTGACCAGTGCCTGCCCCAGAGAGAAGTGGTTACCAGCCTTTGCTGGGGCCCGGTAAGTGGGGTAGGCAGACAGGTTTCTGGAGAGGGAGCCGACTGCCTGGTGTTCATTTTCTACCTGCAGAGTAGTGCCCGGATCACCATCTCTGAGGGCTCCTGCCCCGAGCGCATCACCACCATCACTGGGTCTACAGCAGCTGTCTTCCATGCAGTCTCCATGATTGCCTTCAAGCTGGATGAGGTCTGTGGTTGGCCAGGGTGGGAGACCTGGAGTGGTTCCCTGGGAGGAATATGACTCTAACTCCAGATAGTGGCTGTAGTAGGAGGGGAGATTGAGTCCAGGGCAGTGTTCCCTTGGGGGAGGACTGAGGAAGGGGTTCTTCCCTTATCCCTTAGCAGGAAGGTGCTTGAGAAGGGGTGAGGGTGTGGCATGAGTGTGTACAGCCAACCTACCATCTCTCCTTGCTCCAGGACCTTTGTGCTGCTCCTGCAAATGGTGGGAATGTCTCCAGGCCACCGGTGACCCTGCGCCTTGTCATCCCTGCTAGCCAGTGTGGCTCACTGATTGGGAAGGCTGGCACCAAGATCAAGGAGATCCGAGAGGTGAGGGGAGAGGGATACCACTCACAGGGAGCCTCTTCCCCTCAGCAATGAGAAGGGTATGGGCTTATGGCTTCTACCCCAGAGGAAACTCTGAGCCTGGGTAGGTTTTCTCTGGGCCAGGGGAACAGCCAGAAGTGGTCCCTGTTCTCTGTTTACAGACTACAGGTGCCCAGGTACAAGTGGCAGGGGACCTGCTCCCTAACTCCACAGAACGTGCTGTTACAGTGTCTGGGGTGCCTGATGCCATCATCCTGTGTGTGCGCCAGATCTGTGCCGTTATCCTGGAGGTACTACTCTGGGGCAGGAAGTGGGAGGTGCAGGAGATGGACCCTGAGCTTGCCTTGAGAGGCACCTCAAACCTTATGCATGTAACACCAGGTGGGCCAGGGTGGGGCTATAGGGATGCATTTACTTGGGGGTCATGAGGGCCTTGAGGCTATGGGCACTTGGGGAGTTTAGTGGGCCAGAGAGGATTCTGTCGGAGCCTCCCCATTTATGTCTTCCAGTCCCCACCCAAAGGAGCCACTATCCCATACCATCCCAGCCTTTCCCTAGGTACAGTCCTTCTCTCTGCCAACCAGGTGAGGGGAACAATGGGAATGTGGGAAATATTCCTGGTGATGGAGGAGGGCATGGAAGAAGGAACTGGGGGCCTATGGAGGAGGGGAAAGGAATGACTTTGGCTGAACTTTCCTGAACTGTCACAGTAAACCCCTTTTCACTCACTTTATCTCTACAGGGCTTCTCTGTCCAGGGTCAGTACGGGGCTGTGACCCCGGCTGAGGTGAGTGACCTACAGTACAAAGTACCCCTTTTCAAATCAAGGCTCCTCTGACCTCTGACCCTTTTTCTTTGGCACAGGTCACCAAGCTCCAGCAGCTCTCAGGCCATGCGGTTCCTTTTGCCTCTCCCAGTGTGGTGCCAGGTAAGCAGCCTCCACAGGAGGAGGCAGGGCAGATTCCAAAAGGGCAGCCCCACTCCCTTCCCTGGGGAATGGAAATGGGGATGTGGGAAAGGCTCAGACTCATACTCCATCCCTCTTCTTCCCATCAGGACTGGATCCTGGCACACAGACCAGCTCGCAGGAGTTCTTGGTTCCCAATGATGTGAGCAGGGAATAGAGTTGCTAGAGGGTGGGTAGGGGGCTCAGTGGTCTGGGCCTTGCCCAGGGTTTGAATTCTGCCTCTCTCTAGCTGATTGGCTGCGTGATTGGGCGCCAAGGCAGCAAGATCAGTGAGATCCGGCAGATGTCAGGGGCACATATCAAGATTGGGAACCAAGCAGAGGGTGCTGGTGAGCGGCATGTGACCATCACTGGTTCTCCAGTCTCCATTGCCCTGGCTCAGTACCTCATCACTGCCTGGTAAGCATGGGGTGGGTGGTGGGGATTGAACAGGTCATAGGGCTCATGTGTCCAGGAAAGGCAGAGGTGGGTGGGGAGATCTGGCCTCCTTTCTTTCTCTGGGCCTATCCTCTGACTCCCTTAACCTCTCTATGGCTTTTCCCCTCTATACCAGCGGTTCTCAACCTACAAGAACTGTATTAAAGGGCCATAGCATTAGGAAGGTTGAGAACCACTGCTCTATACCAATCCCTCATGTCCTCTTTTCCCATTGCTGTCTTTTTGGCCTCCCTGTATCTCCTCATCTTTTTCCATCCTCATCTTTCCCCCAAATATACCACCCCATGTCGTTGTCTTTTCTTCATTTCTTCTCTCCTGTCTTTCATCTGATTTCCTGCCCTATATCTGCCCCCATTGCGCCACTCTCACTTCTGCTTTTCCCTTCATCTCCCCTCTCTCCAGTCTAGAGACGGCCAAGTCTACCTCTGGGGGGACGCCTGGTTCGGCCCCCGCAGACCTGCCCGCCCCCTTCTCGCCGCCCCTGACAGCCCTGCCCACAGCTCCCCCAGGTCTGCTGGGCACACCCTATGCCATCTCCCTCTCCAACTTCATCGGCCTCAAGCCCATGCCCTTCTTGGCTCTACCACCTGCCTCCCCAGGGCCACCTCCGGGCTTGGCAGCCTACACTGCCAAGATGGCAGCGGCCAATGGGAGCAAGAAGGCTGAGCGGCAGAAATTCTCCCCCTACTGAGACTGGCTGAGGCACAGGCAGGGGCAGGCAGGACCGCTGGCAGCGAGCCGCCTCTGCACCCTACCCACCCAAGGAGACTCCAGCCTGGGGTCCCAAGCGCCGCTAATGCCCAGACGCATGGATGCACCTCCTACCCTGCCTTGGTCTATGGCAGGTGCTTCTCTCAGAGTGGTGGCAGTTTCTGGCCTAAGGTTCTCAGAGCTACAACAGCCCCAGGGCAGGGGACCCCACACCTCCTTGGCTCTATGCTTGGAGATAGGGAGCAGCCCGGGACCTCTCTAGTGATCCCACCATGGGGGAATACCACTCATGCACTCCCTATCCCTTAGGGCTTCCTGGCCCCTGTGGGAGTCAGGGAAGAGGGCTGGGGGTGGCTGGGGCCATGCTTTTCTCCCCACCACCTGCAGATTCCTGCTGCTTCCACTGATACCCTTTTGACTGGAATGGACTGGCTGGGCTTGTCAGGGGGCACCCCAATAGGGGGCACTATTGGGTAGCTGGGGGAGAGGCATGGGGGCAGGGGCCCGGTTCTCAGCAGCAGACACTCTGTACAGTTTTTTCAATCCCCGTTTTTGAATAAATATTCTCAGCGACCAGGAAGTTGTGAAATACTGGTGTGGGGGCGGGGGGGGGGGCGAGGCAGCAAAACCTCCAGAAAATGGGAGCAGCTAGGCCTAGAGGACCCCCATCTGTGAATCCACCAACCACAATTGGGCCTCAGCCCCTTTCATATATCATTTCTCAGGTGTCAGGGCCCTTTGCAGGTCGTCATCCAGCTTCCTGCTTCTAGCACCAAACTGATCTAGTTGTTTTCTGGGCATTTTAGAAGCAGATATAGGAGTTTTAGTAGCTTTGTCCAGCTTCTGGTTGGTACAGATGCCAGAGAAGTCCTTTGGAGTCTTTCCACTGGTTCCTCCTGCTGTGGTTGTAGCCCAGACCCGGCCCTACTTGGACCATCTCTTTGTGAGCCTTTAGGGTTCTCTTCTCTGTGATGCCCACTTTCTCTCTTCCCTTGGCCTGCAGACCATCCATGAATTTCACAAACCATCTATGATGGGCGGGCCCATTAGAGATGGTGCAGTGTACAGACAGGAAAACTGAGGCCTAAGGAAGGGTAGATCTATGCACAAGGTCATGCTATGTTGAGCCCAGAACCCAGGATTCCTGGCTCTCAGAAGCCTCTGGGCCTCACCAGGCTGCAGGCACCCTTTCTCATGTTCCAGAGCCAGAAGCCCTGGCAGGCACCTGTTGCCAGAGGGCTGGATGGGCTCTGCCTCTGATACCACCTATTTTCTCAAGCTCACGAAGGAGAAAGGGTGGCTCTCAGGTGGCCTTGGGCATGTTCAGGCTCTGCCCTCCTGTCAACTCCGGAGCCTGTTCTGGTTCCCCAGAAGGGCCTAAGGCAGGGCCGTCTGGGGGTCCCTGGAGGCAGTGCAAGAGTGCCCTCGGGTGCCAGGCCTGCGGAGTACAAGCCCAGGGGGACCTAGGCATTGCGCGGCGGGTGAGGCGGCCCAGAGTCAAGCGCACGGGGCGCTGCAGCAGGCCATACAGGAAGGGGTGAGCTGCGAAGGCCGAGTAGGCTACCCAGGTGACAGCTGCCTCTACCTCTGCGGCCAGCGCTGCCGGCGCCAGGCACGCGCAGCCATAGGGCAGCCAGCAGGCTACAAATTGGCCCACTGCCAGCGCTGGGGCCAGGGCTGCTTTGCCCCCGGGCAAGCGAGGCCGGAGGGGCGGCAAGATTGAGAGGCGGCTATCCAGGGAGTCGGAGCGTAGACGGGCCCGGAGGGCTGGCCGCGGGGGGCGGAGGGCAGCGCGGCGCGCCACAACGAAGATGCTGCCATAGGCACCAAGCAGCAGGAGGGCGGGCAGCGCGAAGGCCAGCAGTGCCCACAGCGGGCGGAAGGGCCCAAGACCCCCGGCCAGGACGGAGCAGCGAGCCGGCTCAGGGGGCGGTGCGGGTGGCGGCCCGAGCAAAGAGAGCGCGCCCAGCAACCCGGCAGCGGCCCACACGGCGGTGAGCACGAGCACAGGCGGCGGCCGCGAACCTGGCCGCAGCGGGTGCACTATGAGGCGGTAGCGAGCTAGGCCAAGTGCGGCCACACCGAGCGTGCAGGCGGGCAGCAGCGCAGCGGAGAGGAAGCGGGCAGCGCGGCACGGTGCGGGGCCCAGGCGCACGCTGCCCAGCCCAGGCGGTGGTGCGGCCAGCAGGCCCAGGGGCATGATGGAGGCGGCCGCTAGCAGGTCCACAACGCACAAGTGCACCAGGTAGAATGCGTCGCGCAGTCCTGGTGTACGCAGCACCACAACCAGCAGTGCGCCGTTGCCCAGCAGTGCCCCCACTTCCACGACGGCCGCCAGGATCAATCCGACCGAGCCTGCGACTTCTGAGGCTTTCAGCTCGGTGGTGTTGGCCATTTGAGCGCTCAGGCTTCACCTTGTGCTGTAATGCAAAGAGCAAGATGGAGCCTACAGCTCCAGGATTCCCATCACCTGTCCCTTGCTCCTCTGACCCCTCACCTCATTGGCTGCCCAGGAGGTGGTTCCGATGCCCAAGCTGCCATCTTCTTGGCGACTTGGCCGGTCCCATGGAGGGATACAAGGCTGAGCCTGCTAGCTCTCTTCCTTGCCCCAGACCAGCACCAGCAACTCAGCCCCTGTCGGAGATGGTACTGACTGTCACTCTGATGTTGCCCTTTGGAGACACACAGGGCTGGCAAGGGAGGGGCATGGCCTTGTGCCAGCCCCCTGGGTCCTAGCAGCTGCCAGCTGGAGGCTGGAGGCTCTGCTGTGGAAGAACCTGGGGGTGCTTCTGGAGCAGTAGGGGTTTGGGGCACAGAAGGCACTGGGTCAGGAGCCCAGATGGAATCAGCCAGACTCTGTTCTACCATGCCCCATGATGAGAAGTGACCCCTATCTGCCCGCTGCCCCACCCTCATCAGTGGGGGTAATCATTATTTAGCCCTTGTACTGAAAGGAAACTGAGGCACCAGTGAGACAAGAGTTGGAACGGGAAGACCCTTAGGTATACTCTGGCCCCTAGAAGGTTCAGTTCTCTCAGAAAGAAAGAAGGCTGGGAAAAGTGAGGGAAAAATCATAGGACATAGCACATAGTAGGTGCTCAGCTAATATATGTGTATTTTTTTGAGACAGAGTTTCATTATGTTGCCCTTGGTAGAGTGCTGTGGTGTCACAGCTCACAGCAACCTCCAACTCTTGGGCTTAAGCAATTCTCTTGCCTCAGCCTCCCAAGTAGTTGGGACTACAGGCGCCTGCCACAACGCCTGACTATTGTTGTTGCAGTTGTCATTTTTGTTTAGCAGCCTGGGCTGGGTTCAAACCTTGGTGTATGTGGCTGGTGCTGTAACCACTGAGCTACGGGCACCAAGCCGTGCTCAGCTAATATTAACTTGGCACAGAATGGGAAACCACCCCTCTCCAATTTTCAGGATATGCAGTTTGAATGAACAAGATTCCCACCCTCCATTTTCCTGATTATGCATGAACCCTGGTCCTGGCCAATCAGTGTGTGACATTTGCCACCACCCCAATGTGGTTGGCTCAGGAAAAGCCAGGTACCCAGTGGTGCACCTAGGGTGAAGTCACCCCGTCCCATGGCAAAGCCCTGTCTATACCCCTGTAGGTTTCATTTGCATCTGACGCTCCTTACTTTTCCTTGAATCCCATACTTGAGCATCCAGCTGCCTCTTCAGCATCTCCTTCAGTACTCTAACTAATTGGCATCTTAAACTTCCTCTGTCCAAAACAACTGTGACTCATAAGTTCTCCCCAATCTGCTCCTCCCAGAATTTTCTCCACCTTGGTCAAACTGCATCTCAGGATGCCTCCCTTTCCCCATGCCCCATGCCTAGTCCATCAAGATCTCTGGAATAAGGCCAGGCGCAGTGGCTCACACCTTTAATCTAGTACTCTGGGAGGCCCAGGCATGTGGATTGCTTAAGCTCACAAGTTCAAGACCAGCCTGAGCAAAAAGCAAGATCCCATCTCTACTAAAAATAGAAAAACTGAGGCAGGTGAATTGCTTGAGCCCAAGAGTTTGAGGTTGCTGTGAGATATGACGTCACGGCACTGTACCCAGGGTGACAGCTTGAGACTTTGTCTCAAAAAAAAAAAAAAAAATCTCTGGAATATAGCCATTTCTCACTAACAATACCACTATCTAGGTCCAGCCACCACCACCTCTCGCCTGGACGATTTCAACATCCTCTGCTCCTATACCTAGTGGTGATCATTTGCCTGTTTGCCTTTAGATCTAATCCCTGCTCATCCCTGGTGTTACTTTGTGTTCCTGGGAACTCTGCTTCCTAGCTTCCTTTGCCAACTGGTTTTGGGGCATGTTCAGCAGTGGAAGTTACCAGTATTAGACTGAGGGGAGGGAAGAGGCTAGGATATTTCCCCTCTCACCCTCAACCTGGGGCTCCCTTCAGGTGGCCCCCAATGTGGTTCTAGCTCCTGTAGGGCTACCCTGCAGATCAGAGCATCATTTTCTTCCATTATCTATCCAGCCTTAGGGTGATAGTGACATCCTGCTGTTGCTAATCTTTGGATTGCCTCATCATCTCCAGTTTGGAATTCAGTTCTTTCCCTGTATCAAATTCCCCATGTCTGGAATACCTAAGGAAATTTCTGTTTTGCTGATTTTAACTGGTACATACCTATATAGTTTACTATCCATGCAGCAGCTGAAGAGGCGGTGAAGGAGTGGAGCACCGGCCCCATATACCGGGGGTGGCGGGTTCAAGCCTGGGCCAGCCAAAACTGCAAAAGAAAAAAAAAAAGCCAGATGGGGGCAAGATCCTGCTTTCCTCCTTCCGAGAGCTTCCTGTCATCAGAGTACGATCTCAGCTCCTCTGGTCTCTGTTATCTGCCTTTTTCCACCTCTCTGAGCTCACTCTTCTCCTTGCCCACCATACTTCCTAACACAGAGATAGACTTTTTTACCTGCTGTTTTACCTGTTAAATGAGTTTCTTTTTTTTCCCCCGGTGGTGAATTATTTTCCTTTCTTTCTTTTCTTCTTTCTTTTGCCAAATCATAACTTTGTACATGAATGCATTCATGGGGCACAATGTGCTGATTCTACATGCAATTTGGAATGCTTACATCAAACTGGTTAACATAACCTTCATTTCACTTATTTGTTGTGTTAAGACATTTGTATGCTACTCTTTTCTTTTGTAGAGACAGAGTCTCACTTTGTCGGCCTCAGTAGAATGCTGTAGGGTCACAGCTCACAGCAACCTTCAACCAGGGCTTAGGCAATTATCTTGCCTCAGCCTCCCAAGTAGCTGGGATTCAGGTGCCTGCCACAATACCTAGCTATTTTTTGTTGTAGTTTGGCAGGGGCCAGGTTTGAACCTGCCACCCTCAGTATATGGGCCGGTGCCCTACTCACTGAGCCACAGGCACCGCCCTTGGACTCTACTCTTAATAGTTTTGACATGTACCCTTGCATTGTGCACATTAGGTGAGGTCCCACCAAATACCCTCCCTCTTCCCAGATTCCCCCCTTACCTCCCCTCTCCCTCCTCTTCCCTCTTTCTTTCTGGGCTACAGTTATGTTTTATCATTTGTATGAAAGTGTAGGTGGTTATATATTGGTTTCAGAATAGTATTGAGTACATTGGATATTTGCAGATACAATTGGTTTTAAACCAACAAAGATAAAGATAAGGATGGACACTACATATTTGTCAAAGGAAACGCTCAACATGAAGAGATTTTGATAATTAACATTTATGTACCCTATCAGAATGCTCCTCAATTTATAAAGCAAACCCTAACAGATATGAACCATTTATATCTTCCTGCACTATAATAAAAACTAACCAAAGAAATAATAGACTTAAATTCAACCCTAGAATAAACCAGTTTCTACTTCGGGGTCTTTGCACTTATTTTTCCTTCTCCCAGAACACCCTTCCCTTACATCAGTCCTTGCTCTGTCTCAATTCAGGTCTCTGCTCCATCTTAAACTGTTCTACCTTCCTGCCACTTTGATCCTTGACCCTGCTTTGTTTTCCTTCCCAGTATTTTCCCTATCCAATATTGTATTTCATATTTATGCATGCATTTGCTCTGAACCTACTTTACTAGAGTGTAAGCTCCATGAGATCAGGGACCTTGTCTGTGTCGTGCTTGTGCCCATGTTCCTACACCCCATCAGAGGCACACAGCATTAATACAGATCCAGAGAGTGGAGACTATGACATAGCCCTCCTGTCTTGACTCATTTTATGCTGGAATTCAAAGGGTCTCTGTCCAATTCTCTATTATTCAGATGAGAGGGGGCCCCAAATGGGGGAGAAATGTGTCCCAGATCACACAGCTGAGTTTGAATTGGAATCCAGGTCACATTTGGTTGTAGCCAAATATACTTGGCTACAACCTGAATACAGGCCTTCGCCTCTAGGATGTGAAGCTGGATTTTGAGGTTTTGGTCTTCAGTCAGGCTTTAGGACTGGGGCTGCCTCTGAGCTACCAGGGACTGAAGACAGCTCAGCAGGGCCAAGTGAAAGTAGTGGGTGAGAAAAGTGGACTGGGGAAAACAATAGGAAGGATGGGAACTATGGTGGGTTGCAGGGTGCGTGCTCCCTCCAAAATCATGAAAATAAATTAAAAATTAAAAGACTTTGTAGTAGTATGTGTATGTAGGTATATTGCAAAATTTGCAAAAGAAACACAGAAAGCATAAACCAGAAACAAATGAAATTGGCTCTCCCAGCAGTACCAGAAACAAACGAAATTGGCTCTCCCAGCAGTTAGGAATGAAGCAAAGGCGCTAGGAGGACTCTCTGAGCACACTCTGTGTAGTCTGGCCTTTTTGAACTATGTTTATATTTTATATATTGAAAACAATAAATTAACAAAAATGGGGAACCCCCCCAAAAGTTAATATAGACAGAAACAAATGAACTTACATGTATTTCAAATGAATTGTAACTACACCGAAGAGAAATAAAGAATGGATCTAGGGCCCAGTGTGATGGCTCACACCTGTAATCCTAGCACTCTGGGAGGTGGAGGAGGGTGGATTGCCTGAGCTCACAGGTTTGAGATTAGCCTGAGCTGGAGTAAGACATCTAAAAACAGCCGGGCGTTGTGGTGGGTGCCTGTAGTCTCAGTTACTTGGGAGGCTGAGGCAAGAGGATCAGTTGAGCACAGGAGCTCAAGGCTACAGTGAGTTGTGTTTGTGTCTCTACGTTCTAGCATGGGCATCAGAGTGAGGCCCTGTCTCTTAAAAAAAAAAAAAAAAAGATTAAATAATTCCTGAGCTCTGACCTCTACTTAGAAAGTTTGTTTTCCACATGGTTTGGGTATAGCAATTTTGAAACTCCTTTTTGTATAGAATGGAGCAATAAGCTATGGATACTGATGGAAACCCAGGTTCTTACTGTTTGAGAATTGAAGAAATAGAGAATTGGGGAAGAATGGAAGAACTCTGTGGTGTTTGATTGAAATTGGAGAAAGAGATATGGATAGATGTTTCTGTTTATCTATTTACATACATATTTCCTGCTTCTCTTTGCTGAAGGACTTAAAAACAATGACACCCTAGTATCAAGGAGCACATCTACTGCCCAGACCCTGGATTCTAAACACTATTTCCTGCTCCAGGGAACCAGAGCTCCTTGGAGAAATGGCTGATTCCAGGTTTGCACATGATGAACCCAGAACATCTTGTGATCCCATAAGGTAAGGAAGAACTCAAAAAATGATGGGAACACAGAAGGGGCCTTCTATTGGCCAAATCTGGGAAAATTTGAGGATTCAGATAAATAATGACATTAATGAATGATAATCTACCCTTTGAATAAAATAAAACCCTGAGTCTATACTGATAATAAAGAAATAAAAGAAAATATTAGTTGATAAATTTAAAATAAATGGTAGAGTGAGATAACCACCATTTTTGACCATCTTAGCAAAAATTGATTCAGGTAATTGATTTCAGATAAATTATCATCAATGGATAGTTAAAGCTAGTGGGTGAAAGATGAGGAATGGGACATTCATACCCCACAATATTTCTCCATAGATTGCTGATTAATTACAAAGAGGAGAACTCGTAGCTTTACAGTTGGAGAAGCATGGTGGACAGCACCTTAATTAGGTTATCAAAGTGAATGACTATCACCAAGAATGGGACACCTCCCTCCTGACATACTTCACCGAGGGCATATTATTTATGTAATGTTCCTGTCCAGGCAATACCTGAATGTAATCATGACAAGGCTTCAGACAAACCCCAACTGAGAGACATCCTATAAACAATTGGCCTGTGTTCCTCCAGAGTGTCAAGAATGTCGAAGTTATGAAAGGAAAAAAAAGGCTGAGGAATGTTTACAGATTAAAGGAGACTTAAAGGACACAACAACTAAATGCATTGTATGACCCTAGGCTGGATTCTGACCTGCTCTCCAGCAATGGCACCCCTTTGTGTCTGTGAATAGGGTTAGCTGGGGTGATACCTGGTATTCTGGCCTGAACAGACTCCTTTCATGAATACAGAGGTGCACCCTCTGATACATGTTCATCTCCTTGTTTGTAATATTCAGATTAAGACACATGGGGATGTGAGGAATGCTTGACTTGCCTGGCAATGTCTGGGCTATAGGACAGAATCACCAGGTGGGTCCCCAAATGAGAAACTTCCGAGTCTTTGAAGATTCAATTATTAGGGGAGGCAGGTATTACAGTGATGGACCAGGGTGGGCAGGGATATGTATGTGTAACCCACGTGAACCCACATAAGCCCTTGTACCCTGGACTGGGGCTGAAGCTGCCGAGTGCTGCCTCACCGGAGGGAAAGGAGGTTCAGGCCTGGCACAATTGTGGCACATATGAGCAGAGACTGTAGGGAGAGAATACCACATTTAATAAACCTACCTGTTTAACCTACCTGAAGTTTAGCCTCCTTGGTGACCACACTTCTCAGATGTACAATCTAGGCTAGGATGGATGGCCTAGGTGGATGTGGGATCTGACTTATTCTTAGCCTATGCTCCTCTAACTACATAGCCTTGAGTAAGCTGCCACCTCTGTGTCCCAGTAATAAGCCCCTACTATGCCCATCACCTTAGAAGGCAAGACTTTGGAGCTACAGCAATGCCAAAGCTAACAGAGTTTAGAGGAAAGGGGGATTGCTGTCTGGGACATAGGAGAGCCTGGCAAGAAGAGGTGATATGGATTCAGCAATCCTACTATGGGGCATATAGCCAAAGGACTGAAATCAGTATGTCAAATAGATAGCTTGCCTATGTTCACTGCAGCACTATTCACAACAACCAAGACATGGAAGCAATGTAAACATCCAACAATGGATGAACTGATAAAGAAAATGTAGTATGTTTACACAATGGAATACTATTCAGTCTTAAAAAGAAAGGGCTTAAAAATGAAATCCTGTCACCTGTGAGAATATGGATGAAACTGAAGGACATTCTGCTAAGCAAAATAGCCAGCCACAGAAAGACGAAACCTGCATGATTGCATTTGTGGAATCTAAAAAAGCTGAAGGCAGGGAAGTAGAAAGTAGGACAGTGTTTATTAAGGGCTTTTGGGGAGGGGGTTCAGGTGATGTGGGTCAAAGGATACACAATTTCAGTAGGATAGAAGGAATAAGTCCAGGAGTTCTACTGCACAATATGGTAACTATAGTTAATAACAATGCATTGTGTTCTAGAAAAACAAAAGAAAGGTGATATGGGGGTACCAGAGATGGGCAGAAAGAGTGGAAGATCATGATCCAGCCTCTATCTAGCAGGATTAAGGGGCCAGCCCAGGCAGCTCAGAGGTGAACCTCCAGTAGGTAGCGCAGGCGACACTGGCTCTCCTGGTAGATAAGGTACTCGCTCTGGGAGAAGGTGGAGTTGCTAAACTCTGGGAAAGGCATAGGTCGGCCCTGGGGCACCATCACTTTCTGGCCATCCAGCTCCAGCTCAGTGTCCTGGGTTGGATCTTCAGGACACAGCAAGGACCACAGGTGACCCAGGGGTTACTCATCCCTGGCCTTACCAGTAACTTTTGCCCATTCTGCTCTCTACTTCTGCCGTGGGCAATGCCTGCTCATCTCTACTTTGCCCACTTCCAAACTGCTGCATAGGAGGGGCCTTCTGCCTAGAAGATTCCCCCTCTGCCATTTCTCTTTGAGAAACTCTTACTCCTCTTTCAATGCTCAGTCAACACCACCTCTCTTTGAAGTCCTCTTGGGTGCCCAGGAATAATTTGTTGAATCAGTGTATGTTTGTTGAATGATAAAGTTTATGACTACAGTGAAGAAGGGTGCTGGTTTTGGTCCCTTTCAATAGCCCACTCTCTGCTTACCTCCTCCTTGAAAACGTCCCAGTCCCCTATATCAGCCCCAGCTCTATCCTTAGGCATGTCCCACTACCCATGGCTCACCAGGCTCTGTGTGGCCTCGGGCGATGACACTGTCAAAGCCAGGAGGTGGATGCATCAAGTCGGGCTTATCCATGGTGATGTGGTGCTCTTTGCCCAGTGCCACCTCACCCAGAAACATGTAGCCAACATGGTGTGCCCCACAGCGCATGCCAGTAACTGGAGAGCACAGGGAGGCTCAGGGATGGGACTCAGCCCTCCTCCTGCCTGACTCCCAGGGCCTCACTCCATGGAAATGCGCTCTCTTCTGGGTTTGCTGCCCCAACACAGAAAATGCTCCCTCTCCTCAGCCATTACTGCCCCCATCCCCTGTCCTGGCCTGTTCTCTCCCACATCACCTTGCTCCCTGTGGTACACCTTTGACCCTTTCCCACATACTTAACAGTCCACCTAAACGTCCCTTCATGGATTCCCTTGCCTTGCACCTTCATAGTTCTGGGCCAGGTGCTATCACACCTGGTCTGGCTCACAGCACAGCCTCCCTGAAGCCTCCAGCCTCTCCCTTCCTCTCCAAAGTTGTAGCCACTGAGCTCTGCTATGGACAAGTTCACCTGGACTCTCCATCGCTCTCTGGATAAGGCCCACCTGATCATCCAGGGACTTGATGCTTCAGTGTCAGGCATTGCTTGGAAGTCCTGGCCTATCACAGCCCCTAACCTCTGTTCCTCCCCTGGCCTTGAAGTCTCCTTTGTTACCCCCACACAGGCCTGGCTGGGGTGCTCTTCTCATCTATATCACCTCCTCCAGAAAGTGCCTCCTCTGAGTACCTTCAAGCCTGAGGATGCCCCATTGAGCACTTTGGTCTGTAACTACTTGGGGGTTCCTTTCCTCCATCCACCATGAGTTTCTAGTGGGCAAGGACTGGGCCAAATCCACTCTGGTGCTTCCCTACCTGCCTGGGGTTTGGCCTTGGCGGGCGGGGGGCACCTCACCATAGCAAGCTGACTTGCTGTTCTCTGAGGCAAAGTAGATCCCCTTGCCAACGCGGCCACCAGAATGTGGCATGATGCGGAGCCCACTGGTGAGGATAGCGGCCACCACGGCCACGTTGGTGCCATGCCACAGCAGCTTCCGATTACGCAGCTTGGAGTAAGCCTGGAACCTGTCTCCCTGGGTAGGGGGAGAAGTGTGATATGAGCCCATCCAAGGGCTCAGGCGCCTCTTCTGGCTGCTCAGGTGGTATGACCAAGGCCTAAGGCACCTATGGTCACTCACACACACTCCTGGCCTGGCAGAAACTGATCAGAGTTGCTGATTTGTTTGTGCCAAGGGGCAGATAAGCCAAGGATGGCTCCTTTAGGGACAGGATGGCGATGGGGAAGGGGTTTGGGTGAGTCTCTCTTACCTCCCCTTCTCGGTTCACTTTCCAAACATGTTGAAGATCAGGGCACCTATGGGTGCTGCCAGTCTGTTCTAAGTAGGTCTGAATCACCTGTGTGGGAAGAGCAGAAGCTGGGTCCTGAGGGAGAGTCTCAGGGACTAAGCTCCCTCTAGTCACCTTAGCCCTAGAGCTCTTCTCAGGCCCTAGAGTCATAGGGATAAAAGGTTGAGAATGAGGATTCCTCTGGGTACCCCAAAGGTGGGTAGGCAGAGGGATAGTGCCCACTATTATCCCTGCTCCTCTGTGGGGGCCCACCTTGTATTCAGGTGCCTCTGAATCCAGCAGCTGCAGCTGGCACTTGAGAAGCTGATAGTCTCGGTCCAGAGGGTGTGGCACTTCCTCCACTATCTTCTCCTCAGAGGCTGCCTGCAGGGTCTGGGCCAGCTCGATGTCTGCCAGCACCTAGGATGACGGGCACTGGCCACTTGTCTGCCCACTTGACTTCTAGCCTCCCTCTCTTCTCCCATGTGATGGTACCACAGCCACCCCACCTGTTTGTCCACCTGTCCATCCACACCCCATCTATCTCTCATTCTCCTTGCCCAGTCTGGCTATCTGGTGCACTGCCTGCCTTCCAGCACTCCTGGCAGCCCTCACCAGCAGCATGTCCTTTTTGGCCTGCAGAAGCTCTGGGGAGTTGATGGGTGGGGGTCGGCTACGACCAAAGTTGTGTGGGATGACAGTGTAGAAGTGGGAGGATAGCTCCTCTAAGCTTTGGCCACCATCTGTTTGTGCTTTCAAAGCCACCTCTAGTTTCTCCAAGGCCTCGAAGCCCCGTGCAATCTGTTGTTTGCTCAACTTTCCCAGCGGCATCTTCTTAACATCTGGGGGGACAGGACATTGGGGAACCTCAGCCTTGTAGCCCTACTACCCTGGGGCTCTGACACCATATCTGGATACTCCCTCCTCACCCAGGTTCATGAGGGCCATGGCATTGTTGAACATCTCCTTGCTGAAGATGTTGGTGATGAGTTTCTGTGTGGCTGGGTCCAGGGAGCAGGGTCGCACCTGCTTAATCACAGTCTTTGGTGGGCCTCCGTCCACCTGGGGATAGGGCACACATGGGCTGGAGCACCTAGGCAGGGCACTTGCACTTGCAGCCAGGTGTGGTGTTAGACAGAGCTTGGAGAGTGGAGGTCTGTGCCTGTGGTTGTATGGTTGGGTGGTGGTAGGGCCCAACTGGTTGGGTCTTTCCACCCAGTCCCTTCCTTCAGCCCAGGTCCCAGCCACCCACCCTAGCTACTTCACCTTTACCACGGCCTCCTGGTCCTTGTCCTCTCCTTGAACTTCTATAAGTGTGTACTTGCCAGGGTGGGCCACAAAGTGGTCCCTCTCTGCCCAGTTGTTCTTGGTCTTGTCCCGAAATTTCTTCTCAAAGTCTTTCTTTGCATCTTCTAGCTTTGTGAAGTGGTTGATCTTTGACTGGCCCACCTCCCCCTGCAACTGACAGCCTTTAGGGGTGTGACCACTGCAGAGCCCACCATACATGCTTGTTGGCCTCTGTGCTGGGCCACACCCTGTGCTGAGTGCCCCTGGACAGTTGGAGCTGAGGGGGAATAGTCAGCAGCTGTGGGGACAGTAGGGACTATGTGTTGAGCAGAAGAGGTGGAGAGGAAGTGGGCACAGGTAGGTGATGCCCAGGGCACTCACCACACGGCCCCAGCGGTTCCAGCAGATGAAGTGGTCATCTTCTTTGAGCAGCTGGATGATGTAGAACTTGTTGTTGTTGTTCCCAATGTTGGTTTGGTTCAGGGTGCAGTCATAGTCCTCGTAAACCTGGCCCAGATAGGAGTGGGAGGAGCAGGTGGTGTTAGATGGGGTTCCTGGCTATATACCAAGAGGGCTCTGACTGCACTGGGGATGGCTTGGGGGCCATGGCTCTCCTATAGGGGATACAGTCTGAGAGAATGGGGCTAAACCTTGGCATGGGTGGTGGGGTATTCTGGGAGGACATAGCTATGCTCTTCTTGGGGGAATTTGAGGGGGACATGGCTATGCCCTGAGAGGCTGGTTTGAGGGGACATGGGCAAGTCCTAGGAGACTGAGGGAGTTAAAGCCCTTTCCTAAGTGTGGTCAGGGGAGGCCTGCCTGGGGTCTGAAGGGCAGACCTGACCTCCCTGGACCTGATAAGATACAGCCTTGACCTTTGTGGGTCAGAAGAACATGGCCTTGCCCTGAAGCTTACTTGGGGGCCTAGAGTTACATGGCCAAACTTGAGCCCCAAGGAGGATGGCACAGAGCTGGGAGTACTGTGAGGAAGCACAGCTCACCTGGGTCCTAGAGTTGCTGCTGAGTGGATATGCAGAGTCCACCAGGATTATGCGCTTCTCTGCAGGTGCGGCCCTGAGAACTTCAGCAGTGGAGCGGAAGCTGTCCTCCTCCCCTTGCCGTCCCTTCTTCTTCTCAGGGCCCTCAGTATGCACTGAGGGCTTGCGTTTTGGAGCCATGCTGTCCTGGGGCACAGAAGGGGCCTTCAAGCTCCTCACACATCAACTCCTCTCCCCCATTCCTGGCCTGCATAGCACCAACTTGCCCTACCCTGGATTTGCCCTTTGATGGCCTTTTCCTGCCTACCCTGTTCCCATTTCCAGCCCTGGACCAAACCAGACTCTCTGTACCTCAAATATGCCCCTTTCCCCAGTCACAAGAGCAAGTTCTGTACTCTGTCCACTCTGGTCCAGGAAGAGTCAGGCTCCCTACCTTCTCGAGCTTCAATGTGTCCTAAGGACTTGAGAAAGTGAAACAAGAATCTCTCCCTCTCTCTTCTGAGCTCCTCCCTGTCCAGAATGCTCTGTGGCTACTGTCTGCTCCTCCCCCCCCCTCCCCCCGTCGGCTAGCTCTGACCCAGCTTGGTTGCAAGGGCTGAGTCACCAGAGCCATGGGGGAGGGTGGGCAGCAGCTCTTGGGGGCAGAGCTTGGAACCTGGTGGTGTAGAAGCCCTTCCCAATGTATACACAAGTTCTGGGGTGTCAGCCAGAGGTCCGGATCAGTGGCTTTGAACTGCCAGAGGGCAGGGGCCAGTCCCACCGGGCCCTGCCCTGCCTTGCCCAGGGCTTTGGACAGGACCAAAGGACACACAACTAAGAGAAACAGGGATCCGGAAGAGTTGACCGCCACCAGGCCTGGCTGTCAGCACCTCCCAGTCTCAGGTCTGGGGCTTCCTTTATAAAACTTCCGTGAGCCTTCCGGGTAACTTAGGGAGGGAATTCCCAGCTATCACCAGAGGCTAGAGAAAAGCTTGGGTCAGGGGTAGAAATTTAGCTATTTGGCCGCCAGTGGGGTGTGTCAGAGGCTGTTGCAGGCCAAGTCGGACAGCCAGTCCTACGGATGGGTGGCCACTATATCTGTACAATCCAAGGCTCAGGACGCTGCCTCACTTTCCCAGCCGCTGTCCGGATCTCCCTTGAGGTCTAGCGCTGGGCTAGTTTACTTTAGCCCTAGCCCAAGATGGGGAGGAGTCACGCTTTGGAACGCGGAACCCCGAATCTCTGGCGCCCCCAAGCTGCCAAAGAACGCAAACACAGGAAAGGCCTCTTGGGCCGACCCTCCTTAGAAGCCGGACCAGAGTAGAGCGCAAGCGCCGCAGCCTCATGCCGGAAGCGCTGGAGAGACGCTTGCTTCCTACTCCAGCCTGGCGCGGGAGCCTATGGGAGTTCTAGGAGGCGTGGCCACAAAAACTATCCTATGGGCGCTTGGGGGCGTGACTGAGTCTGCAGAAGAACCCATTGGAGTAGTGGGAGGCGGGGCTTTCCTGGCGGTAGAAGCGTATGGGGGTGCCGAGTGTTACCATGCGGCCGGGGTTTAGCACCACGTGAATAATCCGGCCGCAGCTGCTACACACACGACTGACTGGCACCATGTCTGCAACCGCAGCACCTCGTAAGCGGGGAAAGTCGGCCTCCGCGGCTGGTGCAGGGGCCAACAAGCGGCGGAGAAAGGTGAGCTTGGCCCTTCCACGGGCCGCGGTCAGTCCTGCTACAGGGACAACAGTCGTCCCATCTGAGAGACCCACATCTGGGCCATTCCCCAGTCTTTCGCCCGGGACATCAGTTGGAGTTAGTTTCGTTCCTCTCCCCATGGGCCAAATCCTGGAAAACCTTGGAAAGAGCCACTGCCTTTCCCAGTCCTGGGGCTCTTGAGAGACCTAAGGAGCGTTTGGTCAGTGCCAGGGTGTTAGGGTCCTCTGACCAAAGAAAAAGGATCGTATAATTTCTAGGCTGACTCTGCGGGGGACAGGGGCAAATCCAAGGGTGGCGGCAAGATGAATGAGGAGATTTCCAGCGACTCTGAGACTGAGAGGTGAGCTATTCTTTTCCACCTAGTGGGAGGGAAAACTGAGACCTATGATACGTGAAAAGACACAATGAATACATACAGAGCTGGACCTAGAACTCAAGACTCTGGTCCTTGGTTCTCAGACCATTGCTCCATTCCTCCAATTTCCACTCAGTAGTCTTATCTTCCCTGTGGGGTCTCTGTGTGGGGAGGACACCAGCCCGCAATGGGAGGCCACTGAGACACCTGAGCTCATGACAGGGAGCTAAGCTCAGGGATGGACTGACAGGCAAGGTGAGAGGGATGCAAGAAATATTCAATAGTTCTTCAGTCTGTTTTCCCACAATTTCACCTTTACTGGTATCCCTGGCTCTTAATATGTCAAGCACTAGTGTCACTGTGAAGGGAGGCAGGGGAAGAGAAAATGTGTTGTAGTGGGATGTGTATCTTAAAGGTATGTGTTCTGGGAACCGTGGAGGGGCATTTAAATTGGACCTGGAGAGATGAGGAGGAATCTCTCATGGAGAGGCAGGAAAGGCATTTAGGGATCAGAGGAAAGTCTAGGTGTAAATGTGCCACACTGTCGTGCTTTTCTTTTTTTAATGCTTATATAATCTTTGTTATCACCATCATAATATTACAGTACTTACGAAAAGAAGAGAATACAAAACAGAACCTATAAAAACAATATTATCCAAATTATTTGAGGTCTAAGTCCCCTGGAAAAGGAATTACTAGAGATGTCATGTTCCACTGTGTTATCCAGTAGTATATCATTACTGTCTTTTACCCAAACTAAGTTGGGATAGTTTAATGTTGGTGGCAGGGTAACATTTCATTCATTGCATATAAAAACAATTTAGTTTTATTAACTAAAACAAATTAAGTTTACATATAGTCTAAATAAAGTGTTCAAAAATGTACTATATGCTCCTTGGTCAAATACATATTACAACCATTCAGAAGCATTGTATTTCTTTCTTTTTTTTCTTTCTGTTTTTGACGGGGCTGGATTTGAACCCGCCACCTCCGGCATATGGGACCGGCGCCCTACCCTTTTGAGCCACAGGCACCACCTTGTATTTCTTTTGATATGGTGATCTTAGAGTTTTGCTCTCTCCATTTTATTTATTTATTTATTTATTTATTGTAGAGACAGAGTCTTAATTTATTGCCCTTGGTAGAGTACTGTGGTGTCATACAGCTCACAGCAACCTCCAACTCCTGGGCTTAGGTGATTCACTTGCCTCAGCCTCCCGAGTAGCTGGGACTATAGGCGCCTGCCACAATGTCCGGCTATTTTTTGTTGCAGTTTGGCTGGGGCCGGGTTTGAACCTGCCACCCCTCTGTATATGGGGCTGGCACCCTACCCACTGAGCCACAGGTGCCGCCCTGCTCTCTTCATTTTAAGAGACTGAGCTAATCATAGAGTAAACATTGATTTGAAATGCCCATACAACCTTTCCTAGGGGAGTTATCTTCACTTTTTTCTGAGAAGATAACTTTCTCACTTTTTTCAGTGAGTCTATGACGATGGCAGTCCTAAGGAGCTGGGACTATAGGTGCCTGCCACAACACCTGCCTCAACTATCTGTGAAGTTTTCTTTATTTCTACCACAAACACTATTTAAGACTTTAACACTTTTTCATTCTACTATAGAAGGACAGGTAGTGGGTACTTCTACATTTCCACATTGTGGAGAGCTTTGAATGCCTCCCTCCTTTCTGTAGCTTATGGGGCTGGTTATGAAGTTTCTAAGGGTTGGGCAAAGTGTCAGGCCTGATTCTGTGAGACAGAGGCTCTCAGACCAGGTAATCCTAGTGCCTTTCTTATGAGTTGGCTTAGAAATCCTGCTTCTAAAATTGATTATGTGTTGTTTTAACTTGTACACAGACTTAAAATACTTTTCTTAATCCTAAAGTTATTTTGGGTGGGTGTGTGCCAGGCCCTGTGCTAAGCTATTTTTAAAATGTTACATTGTACAGAAGAGTGAATGAAATAAATCTGTATTATAGAAAGTAATGATAAATGGAGGACCTCTATGCATCTACCACTTAGGTTAAGAACTAGAACATTTGCAGACGCTTAGAAGCCCTGAATGTCATTACTGACTGAAGTTAATAACTTTTGGTTTTCTTTTTCTTTTTTTTTGTAGAGACAGTCTTGCTCTGTTGCTCCTGGTAGAGTACAGTGGTGTCATTGTAGCTCACTGCAACCTCAAACTGCTGGGCTCAAGCAACCCTGCTGCCTCAGCCTCCCGAGTAGCTGGGACTATAGGCATGCAATACCATGCATGGCTAATTTTTAAATTTTTTGTACAGGTGAAATCTCACTAAGTTGCCCAGACTGCCCTCAAATGATCCTCATGTTTTGGCCTCCTAAAACATTGGGATTACAGGCATGGGCCATTGTGCCTGGCCCTTTCTTCATCTTAAAAAAAAAAAAAATTTCATTCAGTAGTAATTAACATATAGTAACATTTACTTTTTAAGTATATAGTATTATGAGTTTAAACAAATGCATATGGTTGTGTAACTACTACTGAAGTAGTAGTAACCATGAAGTTATAGAAAGGTTTTGTCACCTTTTGCCCTCTGTTCCTTTATAGTCACTTGTCTCCCTGCCCCCAACCCTTACCACTGTCTTTTAGAGTTGTGCCTCTTCCAGAATACCCTATGAATTGAGTCATTCAGTGTATATTTCCCTTGCTTTTCTTTACAGTTCTGCCTCTTACGTGTATAGCCTTAAACAATAGATTAGTTTGGGTAAACTGGGAAGTCCAAACCTTGGCTGTGTAAGGGAAGGGCAGCACTAGCCTGATTGGCCAAAGGCTTGCCAGGCACAGGGCACCATATGGTCTTTGGGGCATGGTTGGCCCTGGCTTTCCTGAGAGTTTCCAAAGTCCCTTCTGGGGAAATTGCAGGTAAGATCATGAGTGAGTCCTGGGAAATACAGTTGGGGCAACTGACAGAGACTAGATATTTGGTACAGAGACTAGATATTTGAAATGACACTCAGGGCTTCTAAGCTTCTGCAAATGTTCTAGTTCTTAACCTATGGGGTAGATGCACATTTGGTACATGGTCAGGAGAGTGGGGTGCCCTGAATTTTCTGTTTCTGAGTTCCATGACTTGCCTTTAGCTCCCAGGAGCAGATCAAAGCAGGACCTGTGTTTGAGTGAGGTGAATGCTCTCAGCTGGTCCAGGGACTGGGGTATGGAGGCAAAAGTAGGAACTTTTGCCTGGACACCAGCACCAGGTCAAGCCAAAACCAGTTAAGGTTCACCTGGAACGCTGTCCTCAGGTTAAAGGATGGTGCTGTGGCAGTGAGTCTACGAGATGGCAGTCCTAATGTCTGCCTCTTGGGTCCTTGGATCTGTTGCAAATGACTGCCCCGTTTCCTCTGGGAGTGGTGGTTGTCTTTTCTGGTCTCTGTACTTGGTCTCCTGTTTCCAGTACCCTTTGCCTTCTTCCTCTTTCTTTCTTTCTTTCTTTTTTTTTTTTTTTGG